AAAAAAAAAATAAAAAAAAAAATAAAAAAAAAAATAAACACATCATGATAAAATTAATACCTTCTCAGCTTCGCATCGAAGCTAAAAACATATCATAGTAAAATTAATACCTTCTCAGCTTCGCATCAAAGCAAAATGGGGTTGCTATTTGAAAATCAAAAGTTAACATGATTTTAGAGTATAAGGAATAGTAACAGAAAATTATTTTTCGTGTAAAGGAGCTCAACAAAGATCCATTATTGATAAAAAAAATTTAAATAAGTAGTAGCTCTAATATTTTTGATGATATTTCGTGAAGTATAGTTAAGAAATCACCATATATAATTTATTTGGTTGGTATAAATTTAAAACTACTTAAACCGACATTTGAATTCAAAGTCATCAAACTCTTCCAAAGGATTTAAGCGATTTCATAAATGCTAACAAGCGACTTAACGCATTCAGTACAAATTTATCATCCGAATCCGACGTTTCATTGGTGATGAACTATTTAACATCGTATGAATGATTAATAATAAAACTATAGTTTAAAAAATACTATTGATTAGTTTACAAAATTAAAAAAAAAACCAATATCTACGATATTGGCTGAATAAAATTTAATACAGAATCAAATTTACCAATCAAGTGTACATGTGATAAGTCCATGTTTAAATTTTGAATGGCCTGAAATCAGTACACTAATTAAATAAATTAATAACTGCTAGTTTAGCGAACCAATAAATTTAATCAACGTTTCATGAATCATTGAATAATTTATTCATCTAATAGAGCGCTATTGGTTAATTAAACGTTTAATGAACTTTTATACAACACAGCATTAGTATATTATCCTGAATTCCACCCGAAAGTTATTAATGCACTAGGCATGATAGTGTGCAACAACGGAACAAAGCTAATATTTGAAAGAGACAGATTATCATTATATATTGAGATAACAGCGGCAACAGAACGAACAGCAATAGCAATAACCGACTGGAAGGTACTAGACGAAAATCCTATCAGCCTGCACAGTTATATTACCTTCGACATAGTAACAACATAGAACTGCATGGTCATACCCACAGGCTGGAATGTAAGAACGTTGGATAAAGGTAAAGTAGAAGATATGGTAAAAAACGTAACATTTAATAGTTGGCCTAACAAAGCAGAAGATAGTGCAAACAAGATAGTAAACAAGCTGGAAAAAATATATGATGCTACAATGACAAAACGACAAGCAAGTCGCAGAAGAACCGTGCATTGGTGGACAAGTGAAATCGCTGAGCTCAGAAAAAATAGTAATCACATAAGGAGAAAGTATAAGCACAAAATAAAAAGACAAGGAGCTAATATGTGCTCAAATTTGTGCTGAATTCAAAGAATCAAAACTGAAATTGGTAAAATCGATCAAACAGTCAAAAGATCGCTGCTGGAAGGCTCTTTGTAATCAAGTAGAAAATGACCCATGGGAATTGCCATACCAACCAATAATGGGGAAACTATATAACAATGCACCAATACCAGAAATTTAAACACCAGGAAGGAAAGACATGATAGTCAAATGGTCTGTTCCCCAAGCACCCACAAAGATCACCAATGAAGAATTACTCAAAACAATAACCGCTCTTCTTAACAACAAGGCTCCCGGACCGGATGGAGTTCCTATAGAGATACAAAAAGAAATAATCAAGCATAAACCAAAAATGGTCCTTGATTGATATTCAATAAATGCATAAACCAAGACCAATTTCCGTCACGATGGAAATGTGCTAGGCTGGTACTTCTTAGGAAAAGGAGTAAACTGATAGTGAGCTCCTCATCGTATAGACCACTATGTATGCTTAACACCACGGGGAAAGTCCTCAAAAAAATCTTGAATAACAGACTGAGAGAACACTTGAAAGAGACAAATGGGTACACGCATTCTCAATATGGATTTCGGAAGGGTAAATAAACAATTGATACGCTAAGTAGACTAAACGACATTGTAAAAGCAAATGGGAAGAAAAACTTCACAGGAATGCTTATAATAGATGTGAAAAACGAATTCAATTCGGACCGTGGGGCAGAATCCTAGAAGCCATGTCAAATAAGAACATATCTACAAGTCTTTGCCGAACTATAAATAGCTACTTCTCGGATAGTAAGTTAAATTAAACAACAGGAGGTACGATAAAGACCATAGAATTGACAAGTGGAGTACCTCAGGGATCGGTTCTCGGGCCAACCATGTGGAACCTACTGTATGACTGGTTAGGGAAAACATACCAGTTGTAGTCGAGGTCCTCGCATTCGCCGACGACCTGGCAATAATGGCCACCGCAAGGGAAACATGCAGAGTCGAGCGACTGCTAGAGATATCAGCTGAGATAACATTATTGTGGCTGCAATGTGGTAGGTCTAGAAGTAGCCATAGAAAAATCAGAAACCATAGTATTTACTAATTGTAGAGTGCGAAATACAATAACAATTTCGCTAAGAGGGATCAGGATAAAAGAAAAGTATAAAATACCTCGGAGTCCATCTAGACAGCAAGCTTAATTATAAAGAACATGCTAGATTGGCAGCCGATAAAGCAATTAAGTCGGTAAACAACCTAGGACGAATAATGCCAAAAGTAGGTGCATCAAAAGCGAGGAAAAGAATATTACTTTCGAATGTTATAACATCCCAAATGCTCTACGGATGTCAAGTATGGGCTAACAAAATGGCATCCGGAGGGTGGAAACTACTAGAAAGGAGTCAGAGTCTGATCATGATCAGAGTAGCGTCAGCGTACCGAACAGTAGCTAGTGAAACACTCAACACATTGTCCGGATTACCCCCAATCGATTGCAGGCAAAAGGAAAAATACAGAACCACAAAGCAAATAAAGAGGGAGAGAATGTGGCAAAAGCGAAAGAAAATCATAGCGAGAGCTCCAAACCGACTGGCAAAGCAGATGGCAGGCATCACAGAAAGGCAAATGGACCAATAATAAATTTTATATTTGCTCAACTATATTAAATACATAATTATTGATAAAATAAGACACTTGTTTTTTAGGAATCTATTGAGAATTTTTAATTTTCGTAAAAGAAATAATATTATTATTGTAATATTTATTTAATTAAATAATTTTTTCTTTTATGAAAAGACCCTATAAATAGAATAATATTCGAAAATATTATTGGAAAAATGTATATTAAAGGGTTGGCCCTCTATAAATATTTTTTATGTTAGGTAAGACGGAGTAAAATGACAAATTCAGTATTTATCTAAAACAGTTATCGCAGCAGATTCTTACTAACATAAAATATGTTAACATAAATGTCTTACGATATATTATGTTACTCGACCGAATGTCGGCAATATTAAATATTAAACCCAACCAACAAATTTTATAGGTTTTGCTCTTTACTATTAAAATTTGCCTCTGATTATTTATGGAAGTCTATTGCCTCTCTGAGCAACCATAAAAACGGCCCTGTAAACAGGATGGATATGACGGAAGATTTTAAGGAAATTTGCCACGTTACACATATTTTTGAGATCCTCAATCGAAATGGATGTCAATCGAAAAAAAAACCCTCTTAAAGTTTTAATGATCTTGGCAAATTATAGACGAAACTAAAGAGCTAAGCCACCCCTCCAAATTAAATTAAACATTTAATTAATAGTTACATACAAAAATTATTCAAGGGGTTTAAATTAAAAATATTATGATGGGGGTTATGTTTTTACCCATACTTTACTTTTTTTCCCATATATTATTTAGGACTCTGTGCAAGCACATTAAATTTGCAGAGGGCTGCTTAAAATCGTTTATGCATTCCAATCATTAGAAAATTAAAGGTCAAAAAATAGTAATAATTTTTAAATTATAAACTTCATAAATATATAAAACTGTTGATTAAAAATTGCTTAAAATATTGTTAAAATATTAAAAAATTTTTAAAATATGTTATTTAAATAGATTTACACAATGATTGATTTGTCATTCACTATTAAACTTCTCCTAAAATAATAATAATCTTGGAATTAATTTTTTTGGCTTTAATAATTAATGTAATATTAATTTATAAATGGTTAAATATGTTTCAGATCCACCCCTACCCCTTATAAAGTAACTAATTTAAATTTACAAATTTTTGTTTAAATATAAACAACTATTTAATTAAGTAAATAACTGTTCGATAACAATTTTTGGACCAGTACTTCGTATCTTATTAACTTGTTCATACATAGGCGAGTAGAAGTATGCGACCAAAAAAGGGGAATAAAATATAACAATAAAATCCGATTACTAATATACTACACGAGAGCAATTGTAGAGAACTAAATTGAAAACTAAACAATAAATTGGCCACAATTTAAATATATATCATATTAAAGCTTATGTCATGTAGTATAAAATAAAAAAAAATTGTCTCGACGGCCTATTTTCAATGCGCAAATAGCTGCTTTAGTTAAAAACCTGNGCGACCAAAAAAGGGGAATAAAATATAACAATAAAATCCGATTACTAATATACTACACGAGAGCAATTGTAGAGAACTAAATTGAAAACTAAACAATAAATTGGCCACAATTTAAATATATATCATATTAAATCTTATGTCATGTAGTATAAAATAAAAAAAAATTGTCTCGACGGCCTATTTTCAATGCGCAAATAGCTGCTTTAGTTAAAAACCTGCTATTTTAGTGTTAAAATTTTCGATTTTATATTTTCAATTAAAATTACTAAAACTTTCTGAAAAATGTATGAATCATTAAAATTTTTTTTATGTTGAAACCTTATTTTCCTTTAATTTGATATAAATTTTTGAAAATCTGACTCTAAACCTGTCCACGGGGGAAATTCAAAAAATCAATTTTTGTACACAAGCTAAGCTTTTTCAATTTAATTTTTGAAAATGTTCTGGAAATATTGACACTTTTATTTAAAGCTTATATTATATACTTTACTATGAAAAAAAAAATCGAAATATAGATTTTCTTCTTGGTGAAAATGACTACTGAATTTAAAATATGTTATTTTTGTGTTAAAATTCTGGGTTTTGTATTTTATTTTATTTTAAAATATCTTACAAGGGGAATACACTGAATTTTATGAATATTATATAATTTAATTGATATAGAATTAAGTTCATAAGACATAAGAAGTTGAACTTATTTAAGCTTTTAGCTTCGATGCGAAGCTGAGAAGGTATTAATTTTACCATGATGTGTTTTTTTTTCTTTTATTAAGTCGAAAAAAGGAACTTTTAAATTTGAATTAGCTTAAATTGCCAATTTTATCAACCGACATAAGCAACAAACACCTGTTGTATTGATAACACATGCGTTTTTCACTCTTAGGATACGAAATTTGAATAAGCCAGTGGCAATTAATTTTTTGCATTTTTTTCTTAAAGATTTTTAAGTTAGAAAATATTTTCAAATTATTTGATTTTTATCTCATTTTGATTCAATAACTACAATAAATATCAAGGATCCCATCACTATAGTCTCTCCACGAGAGAAGAAATTTCTTATTCATGTTAATTTATTTTACTATGATGTATTTTAGCTTCGATGCGAAGCTGAGAAGGTATTAATTTTACCATGATGTTTTTTTTTTTTTTATGTCTGTTGCCACTTTTTCTCAACTCTCACTGGACCGATTTCTTTCAACAATACGTCAAAAGATCACAAATCGTATCTAATTGAAGACATTACCCTGAAAAATTGAAAAATTTTCCCTCATTCCCCGCAAATGGGGGAAATATCAAAAAAAATTACAAATTTAAAAATCGGTAAATTTTGCCATTTTTTTCACTTTTTTTTCTTAAAACTTCCATATCTTTTTTAAAAATAAACAAATCAACATAATTTTTTTTTATACTAAAACCTTAGATATTTCCCTTTCATTTGATATTATTTTTTTGAAAATCTAACACTTAACCTGCTCATTGGGGGGGATTTAAAATGTGCCGTGACCCCACTGTGCTACCGTTTTTTATATACTTTAACAACAATAAATTAGTCTTAAAACAATGTATGAAACGGTAATTTATCATAAAATAATAATCAAAATCTATAAAATACTAATACAGAGTGTTCAGTAACAATAGAAACCAGTTTCCTTACTTACTGAACATTCTATATATTTTTTTTACAAGCATCCAAACGTTATTTGATATAATAATTTTGAAATAAATTAAAGATTGCATATATTAAAAATTATATAATATAAATATAACATTAATGTATGTAGGATTTTAGATGAATTATGGTTTTGATTATAGGTTGATAATAGGTCTATATCGAGCTTCACCTCCTTCTATATAGTTGACCTGGCTTTGGGGAGTGTTCAAATACTAGAACTCAACTCTTACGTATGCCTCTGTAAATTAGTTTAGTGATAAGTAGTGAAAAAATATCACATAATTTTTATTTAGTTTGTATAAAACTTATAAAACTTACAACTTAATAACGGATATTAGGGGACTTAAATTATCAGAAATTTTAGTAGCAACTAAATTCAAATTTTTTATTATTATTATTAAATTCAAACTATCTAAATATTTGCATCGAAATGTTTTTTTTATTGTGATTTTAATCACCGTCAGATATCATTATACTTGATCCAATTATGCCACGTCACCACTATACCACGACCCCCCTGTGCTGGGTTTTTTTTATTTTGTTTTATAATAGTGTATGATAAAATTTTCTAGGAATTCTGAACTCTAGCAACACTCAGTTAAGAGATTTCACAATAAATCATAACAACAAATTTGTTTTGTTTTATTTTGGTTAATGTTAAAGGAAATCATCAAATTCTTCTTCTAAGTCCTTTGTTTTTGTTGAGATCAAGTCGCCTTTTTTTACCTTAAATAAAAATATGATGGGACACCAAATAGTTTATTATTTTATTATGCATATATTATTAGATACTTTTAATATATTTTATGTGAAAACAGTTTTTTTTTCTAAACTTGTCTTTCCATATTAAACATTTAGAAAGTATAAAATAAATTTTTTTCTATCATGAGATTGGTTTTACCAGTTGATCACTTATGGTGATTGAATTGGTATATCCCGTGGAAATCCTAAGTATAGTAATATCCTATTGCCTTAAGTACTAGAAAAATAAAAAAAAATTGGAATTCAAAATATTTTGTTGGGAGTTTCTAAATTAGTATCTATTTGTAGTTATACCAAGAAGAGGTTGGGGAACTAAATTAATATGTTCAACTATAAGTCCTAGTCTGACAGTCAATTAATTTGCTTTTTAAAAACTAAAAAAATTATGTTTATTTTGTATAATAATTTTTAGGGAAAGAGAAATACAAGAATTACCTCAATATTTTTATTCTAGTTTCTCCTATGACTAGTCAACTTTTTTATCAATAGAATTTAGTTCTAACTCTACCTAAAATTATATCTAGTTAAAGAAAATGATAATAGTTAAACTTTCTTTTTTATTTAACAATTAATTTTTGAATTATAAATAAAATACTTTTAACTCTCCTCTTTTTTTTTTTGTAATCTGTTATAACATTGAAATTTCTTAAAGTAAAAATATGCAATTTTTTTAAAGTGCTATTACTATATATTATAGTAATATTATTAAACAACTTCTCCTTTTTTTTTTTCATTCATTATAGTTTGCCACTCTTCCAATTGTTTTTGAGCTGCTTCAATTTCAGATTCTAATATAGTAGGTGTAATGCCACACTCAATTTCTTCCTTTCTGGCCCATTTTAATGTTTCTACTTTATGCTCAAGGAATGATACCTTCTGACTATCTAATTCTTTCTGATATATATTCAGTTTTTTTGTTTTTACCATATCACACCATTGAGATGTTAGACGGCGCAATGACTTTTTTCTTTCCACTCTTTCATATACTCTATAAGATATTTTTAATATTTTATTAAATGTTAATTGCTAACAATTATGCAAAACTTACGGATGAGGTCGATATTCTATTTCCAACTTTTCTAACAACCATTCAAATTTTTTATAATCCCAGGTTCGCAAATACTTCAACCGTTTTTTCCTTTTGTCAATTATTTCTTTCATGGCTACTCTAGAAAGTTTATCTCTTGGAGCAATTTCAAAATGATTTTGAAGATTACGAATATTGGCTGTCATACTAGCAACTATCAATCAAGTTATAAAAACAATTAACTTAATTTCTTTTATAAATACATAAATCAATTAAACTTAATATGTTCACATAAGATACCTAAAAAGTCATCTAATTTTCATAAAATTTAAAATTGGTTGTTGAAATCAAGTCATACTATTTGTTATGTGCAACTGCTTAATATTAAAAAGAAGAATGCCTGCTTACATATGAGTTGTTTATATTTGATGGAACGGAGAAAAGAGAAGGAATAGTGAAAATAGGTACACCTGTTTTCTAAATATAAATATAATGAAATAAATATTAAATTTTCTGCAAATCATAAATGTAAAGGCCAGGGGGATAACTTACATATTAAAATGTGAAATGAAAATAAAACAAATATTATTTGAAAATAAATCTCATACAGGTAATAATGGTGAACTGGATATAACGAGTTGAGGAAGGCCAAGATAGGTGGTTGATTGGAGTGGATGTATCATTCTTAGTAATGAGATGGAATGAACATATGTGTAGCAACGTGTACTTGGTGAGATGAAAGCAAAACTGAGACAATTGGCAAGTACGCATACATTTTTCAAACTTATTTTCAAAAAAAAAATCAAGTAATCTTTCTAAAAAATGTATATTTATACATTTTACAACTCGAACCATACAATGCAACCCGGCACCTGGTATTGCATTATTTATTTCATTTACTTTTGTAGTAAAAAGGAATTTTTTTTTTTTATTATTTTTATCTACGTTAGTGGGGTTCTTTTAATTATGTTGGTTAATTAATGATGTCTAAGAATACTTATTTAGCTAAAGATTTTGCTGTTTCCATACTTTATACAATTACTATTTTATTAGGTCCATTTCAAACTCAATCAATTTTTTACTAAAACTTACTTTGAACTTCACATGAAGTTGAATCAAGAATGTTAGATTTCACTTCATTAATTAATTTTTGTCGATACAACTCCATAGCATAACGACGACCCATAAAATCACAGGAAAAAACTTTACGAACATATTCATTTGCCCTAAATAAATACAATTTTTCAAAAAATTTATTTTAATTATTGTGTGGTATTGTAAAATATTAATTTATTAATTATAATATATTTAATAAATCCATAATTTTTATTAGTCTCTAGTATTTATTCAAATCAAAAATAAATTTTTTTCTTTTTGTTGTTGTATTTAGATTTATTAAGAGAATAAGTAACTGCTTAAAGTTGTTGCCAATTCAAATACTAATGGTTATGTGCATAATTATTAATTAAAATTAAATATATATATTATATATAATATTTTAGTCAATACAATTATTTTGATAATTGTAGCATTGGGTCTCCTAGAATTGTTACTAGCATATAATTAATTAGTATTAATAAAAAAGTTATTCTATGACTTACGTCTTTAATTCATGAGAATTCTGAAACTGTAATGGGAATTCAGGCATATAAATATTCTTTAACGGTACTAAGTCACCAGTTTTTTTCGGATGCCAACAAGCAATCTTTTCAGGTCGAACCCATTTTATATGTAGATCACTTTTTAAACCTCTTGTAAGTAATGAATTATTGCTATTAATATATCTAATTTTTGAACAAAATGACGAAAACATTATAAATTTTTATATCTATATATATATAGAACTAATATACTTGATATTTTATTAAAAAATTGAATTGGTTGTTGTAAATCGATAAAATATCAAATCATTATCAATATTATCACTTAACTATATTATCGTATTTTAACTGAGGATCAAAGTTTTGCTTAAATATACCGGCTTGTGAAAATTCTTATCATTGTGATTTTACTATCATATGAAAAAACCTATTAAATTTTCAATATGAGAGAAAAAGTAAAATGTATTTGGGATAGAATTTATAGTTTTTCATAATACAATAAATCATTAACTAGAGAATAATTCTTCAATTTGGTATTTTCATCACTAACTTAAGTAAGCTTACTTTATAATTTATCAGTATCTTGTACAATATCTCTGAGATAATAACTATTCTTAAGTATTTATATTAAAACGAGTTATTTTAGTGAAATATTAGTGTTTGACTATATTGACTATATCAATAAAAGAATAATTTCTTTTATTGATATAGCCCCTATTTTACGTTTATTATACTATCGATTTTTATATATTAACACTTGATTTCTTTATATAAACTTTCCATGCTATAAACCATTCTAAATAATACTCATGATTCTTTTCTATTAGGTATTTGAATAAGTTTTTCTTCTTTCAGAATAGTATTATTAAAATGATCATTCTATTATCAAGGCCATAAATAAACTATTGCTATTGAAAAGTATTTTATCTAATGGATATCATTATACATTGGTGTATGATAATTCTCATAAATTGGTTGTTCAGAGAAAGCACTCAAGTTGGTATGTATCAATTAAAGGACATTTTTTATTATTTTAATTATTAAAATCATTTTTGCTTAAAAAATTATGTTGATTATGTTAAGTGGTTTTCAATATAAGCATTTTGAATAGTTGGACTACTTATAATAACACTTCTTCATTTTAAAATACATTTTTTTAAGAGTAAGAATTTAAACATTCAGACTTATTTAAAATATTTCATTGTAGTCAAAGTAAAAAGTATTTTGTTTGGAGGAAGAAGAGAAAAATTTTCTGATGTATTGTATGATTCTTTCAACACTAGCCGCCACTGAATTTCTCTTAAAATAGTAATTTTTTGGTGAATGTTATTTTTTGGCTTTTTTTAGTTAAATATATATCTGCATTTATCAGTTATAATATATTTTTTAAGTTAAAATTATGGACCATTCATTTTCATAATTACATCATTATCTATCTTATAAGGTAATTAAATATGTATATTACCAATTAAAAAAATAAAGTTGACACTCTTATAAGGTATAAGGTATTTTATAATAGATAAATAGAAATACATGTAGAACTAACAAAAGTCAAAAAAAATTATTTTTTTAGAGAAATCGAGTGACTAGTGTTAAAAGAATTATTCTGAATATATCTCTAGAATAAAATCATAATCAAGCCAGTGCAACCAATGTAACTTATTATTTCATTGTTCTTAGAATGTCATATTATAAACAATGGTGTGGTTAAATGATTTCACCATTGAAGATATATATAAGTCAAGCAAACCTTAAAACTCTTCATAAAATTAGTAATAATATAACTATTAATACACATAAATATTAATAATACTCAAACCAATTTACAGTAAAGATTATTATTTGATGTATTTATACAAATTAGTCTAGCATGGCAATGTGGCACTAAATATATATAACCTTCCAATCAGTATTATACATCCAAGAATGTATAAAACTGTTTGATTATATTCCATTTGTTTATTGGACATAGTTTTTTCACTTGGTGGTTTAGTTCATTCCACAAATTTTCAATTGGGTTTAGATCTAGTGATTGTGCAGGTTACTCCGTCATTTTAAACAATAAAAATCGACTAAACTGACCTTTTCATTAATTTTGAAGGATTTTTTTCCAAATAAAAGTTATCAAATACTAATAAATATTTGCTGAAATATTTATATTTTGTTATTAGGTGCAAATAAAGTTAATAAAAAAGTGTCAAATATTAAAAATTAAGTATAAGTTTGATTTTTCAAGGTGGATTTTAACTTTTGAAGGGGGGTATAAGTATTTAATCAAATTTTATTTATTTTTGAATAATAATAATAATGTTTTTAATTACAAAGGTTATAAGATCAATATAGATATTATTCTAACATAAAATGTTAAAAATTTATTAAATAAATGGAAATGATATTTTATTCAGTAAAAAATGAATGCTTAAATTGAAATTTAGATACTTCAAAAGGATATTGTGCCCAGTATAATGGAAAAACTTGTAGAAAATACTTAAATGCTTCAATTTTGATATGGTTTAATAACACTTTGGAAAATGAAGGAAGTGAACAAAATGAAATAATAACTGCTGGTTTATGGGATGAAATGTTACCAGGTTTTTCTAAAACTTGTAGACAAGCAGCAGAGGTAAATCTTTTAATTTTTAAAAATCTGCTAATTAAAAAATATAGTTTATACTTATTTTTATATAAAAAGAATAATTAGACTTTTGATTTCTATTTATGAACTTCATTGGTTTTTGTTATCTTAGAAGTTGTTATGTCTGTATGCTTTTCCTCATTGTTATCAAGAAAAATATCTCCCTCTATGTTATGAAGACTGTATTGCTGTTCGAGAATTGTTTTGTTACAAAGAGTGGGCCGTAATAGATGCTAACAAACAACGTGGTATATTTTATAAATCAAAAGGACATTTCTCTTTACCACATTGTGAAAGTTTACCACGTTATTCTCAAAGTATACCTGTATGCTCTCATGCTATGTTAACAGAATTTAAACAAAATGAAGTTACTAGTAAGTTTTATGATAATTAAATATCTGATACTACTTAGAAAAAGAGGGTATACTACATAATGAAAGTGTGTATTTTTATACTACAGAATTGTGGTTTTTTCCCAATTAAAAAGTTTATATATTTAGATTACAAATCTAAGTTTAATAAACATTGTTATTAGCTGATTGCATAAGTGGAAATGGTCGGTTTTATCAAGGAAATATGAATGTTACCAAGTCTGGTTTACCATGTCAACGATGGGACTCAAAAACACCTCATGAATTTGTAAGACCTCCTAATGTGTTTCCTGAATTAAAGAATTCAGAAAATTTCTGTCGAAATGCTGGAGGTGAAGAATCAAGTCCATGGTGTTACACCACTGATCCTGATGTAAGATGGCAAAAATGTGAAATACAGCTTTGTGGTAATTTGTATACTTCATAATTTTAATTTTCCATTTATTAACTTATTTATTATTTTACTTATGTATAATTTAGAAAAAAATGGATCCCTTGATATAATAAATATTAAGATTGATTTAAATTATAATGTTACAACTATGAGTACCAGTTCTATCTATCAGGCACTAAATTATATTCAAACATTTATAGAACAGACTTCAGCAACACACTTTCATGTATTTCTAATAATTATCGGAGTGTTGATTATTTTAATTTCCATAATTATTGTAGTTTTGTGCAATAAACTAATGTCAAATAAAGCTTCATATACATCAGCACAAACTCAAGTAATATTTTTTTTATTTTATTTGTTTTTTTAATCTACTTTATGAAAAATGTAAACAGTATATTTTATTTAAAAAAAATTTAGGATGTTGATATAGATTTAGATAAACTACCCAGTAATTCAGCATATCATCATTATGGAATGTGTTCAAACCCTAAATTGGAAAAACTTGAGTTCCCAAGAAATAATATAATTTATGTTAAGGATTTAGGACAAGGAGCTTTTGGTCGTGTATTTATGGTATAATAACTCTCTTTTAAAATTTAGTTATTTAATATTATTGATATCTGAGGGGCAGTATGATTGAATTGGTAAATAAGTGTAAAGGTGGACACTAACTAGTTAATTTTTTTTACAATTAACTTTTTAACTTAACTAATTAAATTTATTGTTGAAATAACTTAACTTTCTGAGTTAATTACAAAATTAATACTAAAATCGCTAGTTCATTTTTCTTAATTAGAAACTATTATATTGAGATAGATGAACATAAAATACACAACATTGATATAATATCAATTACTCACATAACAATTTTAATTTAATATTATTATTAAGATAAGACTACTAGCAATTTTAATTTTTAACTTAACAACAATGTTTCTATTAAACTTAACTCAATTAATTTAATTAATTCTAATAGCTTAAGTAAGAGTCAGCAATGCCTGATAAGTACTTTGTTAAGTTAGTTCTGTGAGTTTGAATTAACTCCGTTTGTTCCAAAATAACATAACTAGTTAATTATGGGCAGCTACATTTGCTGTATGATAAATCAGTTCAGCGATTGAAGTTACCATTTCTCTCTCTAGCAAAAGACAAACTCTTCAGCCTAAAATTAAAAAAACCTCCAAACTGAGATAGGCTGTAATAACTCTTAATAGGTGGTCAAAAGATGCTGTAAAAATATATTAATGTTATCATATTTATTCCTTAGGCTAAAGCTCCTGGTTTATTAAAAGATGAAGAATTTACATTAGTAGCCGTAAAAATGTTAAAAGATGAAGCATCAAATGATCTTCAAGTTGATTTTGAGAGAGAAGCTTGTTTACTCTCTGAATTTGATCATCCCAATATAGTTAAATTGCTCGGTGTTTGTGCTTTAGGTAAACCTATGTGCCTACTTTTTGAGTACATGGGTAGAGGAGATTTAAATGAATTCCTTCGTTCTTGTGCTCCTAGCAACTATATTATACAATCCATTGAAGCCAGAGGTGATGTATACCGTGATATTAATCTTACAAATTTAGATATGTTAAAAATTGCACAACAGATAGCATCTGGTATGGTATATTTATCCGACAGAAAATTTGTACACAGGGATCTAGCTACCAGAAATTGTTTAATTGATGATACAATGACAGTTAAAATAGCTGATTTTGGTCTTTCTCAAAAAATGTATCTTCAAGATTATTATAAAGGAGATGAACATGATGCTATACCTGTAAGATGGATGCCTCTTGAAAGTATTCTTTATAATAAATACACAGTTGAATCTGACGTGTGGGCGTTTGGAGTATGTCTATGGGAAATATTTTCATTTGCACTACAACCATATTATGGTATGACTCATGAAGAAGTGGTTAAATTTATTAAAGAAGGAAATGTTATGAGTTGTCCTGATAATACACCAAAGATGGCATATGAAATAATGAAACAATGTTGGAGTCGAAAGCCTGATGATCGACCAACTTTTCGTACTATCTATCAGTCCTTAGAAAATATTAGACTAGAAATAGTAAGTTGCTTCAATAATCTTTCTCAACATATACACTTGTAAATATTTTAATTTTATACTAGGGTTTAGTTAGTATTAATATTAGTAATTAATACTAATACTTATTACACTATGGTTAATTATAATTTACATTCTTAATTTCAACTGATTTTGTTTATTACGAGTTTTTTTTTATTGCTCTAAAATATAGTTTGTAAATAAAAAAATTTTGATCTGTTGAACCACAACAATATATTTTAATATTTAGTGTTAAATTTATGACTAAAAAAAGTGTTTTATTTTTGTAAATAATCATTAATTGCAATATGATCTCCTAATATTAGGTAGACTTGTCACAATAAGTCAATTGTAATAATAATGTAAACTACATTTTAATACAGTTTGCTTAGTAATCAATCAAATAATAAAAGAAATAATGCAACTGTAAAGTAATATTTAATAATTTAATCTTTTTACTGTTGTTTCAAAAATAGATTGGCTTTAAGTTCTAAATAATCTTATTTTAAGTTGTAATATATATTTAATACTAGTAATAGTATTATAGTGTACATAAAATAAATATACATGTATAAAGTATTTTTGTAAATTTTACTGTAATTATTTATATTTAATTCCACTGTAATTATTTAAAAAAGTTATTAGTTTATATTTTTAATGTATTATACAGAGTAAGTCAAATTTTATTTTATTTACTTTTAATTCACTATTATTTTTTTATTAATTTTATTTCAAAATTATTATAGAAATGCAACATTTTTAGGGTTGTTTTTCTGAATTTGATCTTTATGATCTTAAATTTTTTGTAAATATTCTATATGTTACTGAATATATAGAAAGTGTGGGAGTGTTACAGTGATTAATATATATTGTACCTATGCTTCTGCTTACATACCCTATATATTTAAATCATTGTCACCAATATACTAATTGAAACTTTCAATGAAATTTCATCAAACTCAATGCTTTAAAATATATAAAAAATTATTTTTTCTATAACATTTTTTTAAAAATAATAAATGACATTTATAATTCAAAAATAAACATTTAGTAGTTTTATTAAGACCTCCTAAAAAAATGTCATAGGTCAATTTTTAGCTTCGCATCGAAGCTGAGAATATATTAATTTTACTATGATGTTTTTATTTTTTGTCTGTTACCATTTTTTCTCAGCTCTCACCGAACCATTTCTTTCAACAATACGTCAAAAGATTACCAATCGATTCTAGTCAAAGATATTACCCTCAAAAATTGAAAAAATTTCTCTCGTTCCTCGTAAATGGGGGAAATCTCCAAAAAAATGACAAATTTAAAAATTGCGAATTATCGGAATTTTTTATTACATAAAACTGCTTAAAAATTTTCAAAAATGACTAAATAAATATAATTTTTTTTTTTTATAGATGCATGATGTCTTTGCTTATTATTTGGTTTATTTTTTTATAAATCTGACCCTTTATCTGCCCACAGGATAGGATTCAAAATGACAACTTTAACAAAAATTAACTTTTGAAAGTGATTCGGAAATACTAACACTTTTATATAACTTTAAATTAAAGCTAATGTAATATACTTTATTATGAAAAAAAAAAAAAAAATTCCGACTTTATTTTGTCTTCACGGTAAAAATGGCTATTTTTATGGCATATGCTATTTTTGTGTTAAAATTCTCAATTTTATATTTTACAGAATTATAGTCATAACTCGCCACTAAATTGCACGTTTTTTTTTTTCAATTTTTAGCTTCGATGCGAAGCTGAGAAGGTATTGGTTTTACTAAGATGTGTTTTTTTTTTTTGTATCTGTTACCACTTTTTCTCAGCTCTCACCGAACCGATTTCTTTCAATGATACGTCAAAAGATCACAAATCGTATCTAGTCGAAGACATTACCCTCAAAAATTGAAAAAAATTCCCTCGTTCCCCGTAAATGAGGGAAACCTCCGAAAAAATTACAAATTTAAAAATGGCTAATTTTCGAAATTTTTTCAATTTTTATTACTAAAAACTGCCGTAACTTTTTCAAAAATAACCGAATCAATATAATTTTATTTTTTATAGATACCTTAGATATTTACCTATCATTTTATATATTTTTTTTGTAAATCTGACCCTTTATCTGCCCACAGGGGGGGGATTTAAAATGACAACTTTTTGACAAAAAATTTACTTTTTCTACTTAACTTTTGAAAATGTTCCGGAAGGTCTGACACTTTTATATATACCTTAAATTAAAGCTAATGTAATATACTTTATCGTGAAAAAAAAAATTCGGACTTTATTTTATCTTCATGGTGAAAACAGACATTAAACTTAATAAAAAAAATACGATTTTGTAAAAAAAATTCTTTTTTATATTTTTAACTTTATAATGCTATAACTTATTGAAAAGTGTATTGATCAATATAATTTTTTTATGGGAAATACTATTTTTTGATAATCCCTTTTTCATTCGACATACTTTATCTTAATCAGGATATTAATAAGGAACTAGCAGTTTATGAAGCTTTTGGAATAATCCGCCAATTTTTTAAAATTAAACACTATCTAAAGATTTGCATCGAAGCGTTCTTTTTTGATAGTGATTTTAATCACTGTCAGATATCATTATACTTGATCCAACTATGCCACGTCACCACTGTGCCGCGACCCCCCTGTGCTGGGTTTTTTTTACTTAAAACTGCTATAACTTTTTTAAAAATGTATGGATCAATACAATTTTTTTATGAGAAATACAATTTCTATAGCTCTTTCATTTAACATACTTTTTTTTTAAAGTGGACCATTTTCCTTTATACAGAGGGGGGTTCAGAACTTCAAAATGTATATAGAAAATGGAACTATTTCAACTTAATTTTTGAAAATGTCAAATATCAATTTCATACTGTATTCAATCGCTATAATAAATATTTATTCATACATTACACTTATAAATCATAAAGTTTGTAATGATTATAAGGTGATAATAATAAAGATTACCCATTTCCTTATTATGAGAAATAATATTTTGTAATAATTCCTTTTTCATTCGACATACTTTATCTTAATCAGGATATTAATAAGGAACTAGCAGATCATGTAGCTTTTGGAATAATACACCAATTTTTTAAAATTAAACACTATCTAAAGATTTGCATTAAAGCGCTTTTTTTTTGATAGTGGTTTTAATCACTGTAAGATATCATTATACTTGATCCAACTATGCTACATTACCACTGTGCCGCGACCCCCCTGTGCTGGTTTTTATTTATTTTTAACATGTATAAAAATTTATAGAGCTTGATACAATACATTTCAATCAAAAATTTTTGTTATAAATTTTAATAGAGTAAATAATATCTAAAAGAAATCGTTGAATATTATAATGAACATTCATGTATAGTTCAGGTGATCGTTTTATAGTTTAAACAGCCCATTTGTAACATCATAGTATGATGGTACTTTATTATAAGAAATGTCGCTGATTCTTATCAAGCAATTTAAATGTAAAACTAAAATTATAATGTATTGATATTTATAAGTCATTATTTTCTCTTTGAATATGTCTATTGCGTTCATTATTTAAATTCAATATTCAAATATATTTTAATATGTCATGTACATATTAAAGTAACCCCGTATCTGTTATAAGGTAATGAGTTAGTTGTGGTCAGCTTTGTTAACTATTTTTATACATTGATAAACGACGGATAATGAGTGCAGAATAAAAAAATATTGTTTAATCGAGTTTTCACTCTACAGCGTATATTTTAATTATCTGTGAATTGTGTATGAATCTATCATAAAAAAATCCCAAGTACGAGACTGTTGACTAATAATTATTTACTATTATTGTAATGTTAACATGGTTCAATCAAAATATAAAGAATAAAAAATCTAACTTGTTATAATTAAATTAGAATTTAATTAGAAACCCAACCAGCGAGTGCCAAAACTAAATTATTTTTGTAACAAACTCTTTCAACTTGATTTATTATTTATAATATAATAAAATTGGTATAACTCATTAAATAATATTTTAATTTTTAGAAAAGTATCTATAATTGTATAAATTTTAAGTAAAACTCAGAAGATACTATTCCAATATTATATTATTTGAATGTTATAATTATTAAAGTCAAATATATATATGTACTAAATATACTATTTTGAAAAAAATTATATTAGCAGTTACATGATTGTAATAGACAAAAATAAAAATTTTAAATAATAAATGGCCATAAATCATACTGATTTAAAAGATAAGTTATTTAACATGATGCATACTAATATATATTGAATTAGTCTCTTCTTCTACGCTTTTCTCGATCGTNCATGTGTTGAATTAAAAAAAATTAATCTTTCCTTCTACGCTTTTCTCGGTCAGTTTGAGGTTGAGCTCGTTTAGATGCATGCTTAGCTTGTGTTAAGAACTGATCCAAACCAAATGGATCTTCTTCTTGTTGATGTTTTTCAAATTGTACGGGACCAGATCGTCCACTTGTTTTAAAATCACGATCAGTTCCACTGAACTCCTTATTTGGAACAAACCTAAAAAAAAACATTTATTTTTATAACTATTTGAGGGATGGCAGGGCCAAGTGATCTAATTACTAAAAACAATATTAATTACATATATATATACTGTATATCCACCTCAATACTATGAAAAAAAATTAAATTTTAATAACTATTTATAAAATGTCAAACTAAGTACTCAATAGTAGAGCTGCCAATGGCTTCTTATGGGAAAATTGAATAGTTTTTATTAATTTCCCAAACAAAATCTTTTTGGCACTTAGATCACTTGGACCTGCCACGCTTCATTTGTACAAAAATAACATTTAAAATTGAAACAAACCTATTCGTCTTAATCTTGTCCAAATCACCTNGCTTCTTATGGGAAAATTGAATAGTTTTTATTAATTTCCCAAACAAAATCTTTTTGGCACTTAGATCACTTGGACCTGCCACGTTTCATTTGTAAAAAAATAACATTTAAAATTGAAACAAACCTATTCNAAAAATAACATTTAAAATTAAAACAAACCTATTTGTCTTAATCTTGTCCAAATCACCCCCATAAGTGTCATCAATATTGGCAGTTGGTCGGTAAATATGATGTGCTAAAGATGACCCTTGCCAGGGTTTGTCATACACATCATATTCTTCATCATCCTTAAATCCAGTATTTATTCCAGAAGTGGAATTTAGTAATCGAGTGTCGTATTCAGTTTCAGTTTTTCTAGATATAGCTGGCAGACCAAGAGCAATCTGTTCACTGACATCACGGTCTCTAAGTACTTTATTCTTTCGACTGTCAGCATTTCTTGCAAGGTTACGATCTCGTGCCCTATCTTTTTGTCGCTCCATACGCAATTGATCACGTTCACGGGATTCGTCATTCTTTGCACCAGGTAGCCGTATTCCAGCTCTTTCTTCTCTAGCTTTTTGTGCCATAACCCGAAGATGTTCCTCTTTCTTTTCTTTTTCTTTTTGAGCCATTTTCTTTTCTAACTGGGCTCTCATTTCTACTGCCTCGCGAGCTTTACGATCAGCAATATATAGTGCTTCAGCTAGCTTGGCAAACTTTTCATTTATATGGTTTTGCTGAAGACCACGACCATCAGCTGCTAATCTTTTATCTAGTGGGATTGTATAACCTTTAGAATTTTTCCAATTTGAAATACAAGGTGGAATTTTCCATTCCTTTTGTTCTTTTACGGATGTTTTTCTAGTAGGAGAATGCATCAAGGGAGCTGGAGGAGATGGGGGACCACGTGGAATTTTCTTATTTATTTGGAATTTGGGTGGTTCCATTGGATCCTTCTGTGCCTCAACTAACCGAATAACACGCTGTTTGGATCCTGAATTATATTCTTTTCCTTGTTCAGTAGGTGTATAGCGAAACCATTGAACTGGAGCCTAAAAATTGTATTATTATTAATTGTAAGTTAGAATAAATTTATTTAAAAAAAATTGAACATACAGGTTTGTCTGCAGCTCGAACAGGCAATGCAGCCGATATTTTTGAATTTGTAAGTTTTTCTAAGGCAGCTCTAGTTTTCTCAGTTAATTTAGCAACTTCCTCCAAGCTTGGTTTTTGTAATGAAGAATCATCTTCATTAAGTATTTCAGATGGAAGCATGTCATGTAGTTTAGAATAAATAACTTTGTCTTTTCTATGACCTTGACGAGCTATAACGTCATATTTTGCTTTACCATCTGAAGTCATTTGAAGAGCAAGAGCATTTGAAATAGTTTCTTTGTTTTCTTTTCCCATATTTAGGGGAAATTGAGCAATTTGTATTTCCGGAAAAGCGCCACCATCTCCGAAATCCTAAAACCATATATATAATACAATTGCACAGTTTAGGTAGTATTATTCATAAATATATCATGTATGTTAAAACAATATTTCTATTGTTTAAATCATAATTATACAATAATTTCCAACAAAAGACTTAGTCATTGAATCTTCAATAAAAATATATCAATAAATTCTATAAAATTTCATATAATAAAAAATAAAAGTTTAAAAAATATCAAAATTTACAGGTTTTTAAAAATGTAATTAATGTGCAGATTTTCCATATTTATAGGCAACCAGGTTAATATTTTTAACTAAATATAACTTGTAATCTTTAATGTATTGCTTAAAAAAATAGGTCGTTTAAGGAAAAAAATGACCAGGCAAAAAAAAAGTGAATTATAATAAAATTATTATTGCCTTTTCAGATTTGCATGAAAGCTAAAATAAATGTGTTTATTTTTTGTGTTTGTTACCACTTTTTCTCAGCCAATTTTTTTTAATGATATGTAAAAGATTACAAATTGTATCTAGTTGAAGATTTATTTATTTTAGTTCTTCTATGAACAGGAACAACATCATAAACTACACAGTGAGAAGGACTAAGTGTATTATTTGTCAGACAGGCTTATGCTAACCATGCGTATAAAAAAAATAGGGGCAGTGGAAAATAAATAGCCGAATTGTAAATGACCCTTTTTCCAAATTATGATGTTATGGGCAAAAATGTTTTAAATAAACATGTATTGGTCAATTAAAAATTTCAGGGTTTATCCATTTGCTTTTTCATCTTTTGCACAGGAGCGGGCGATTAAGTTAACATGGGCCTGCTCATAGGTGATGAACATTTTGAGGGACTATAATTGTACCATAGTAGATTTAATAAAAACTATACTTGATCCAATTAATGTGCATGACCAGACTAGGGGCAAAATATACAAACAATATATTAAATGTGTCACACATATATGTTACGTTATATATATTTTATATAAAGAGGCACTAAGATTTAGCCCAATATTTGAATGAACTCTTTTAATTGAATTCAGTTTTAATTTCAAAAATTATTTTTATTGATATTAACTGTGTTGTAATACATCTTTATTGTACACTTTAGATATTATTATTATAAATACATCTTTAAAGTTTAAATATTATATAATATTTAGCCAATATTATATTGTTAAAATATCAATGAATGCTATGTAATTTATTATAATTTTTTTTTAATAATACTTAAATTATAATTTTGACTACAGTAAAAAAATAATTAACCTAGGATAGCATTGTATATTTTAGGAGATACCAATTTATGCATGGGTATAGTGCACATTAATGGACAAATTCTTTCAGAACAAGTTTGTAGAAGTAACTAGTTAGAAAGATTTCCTCCACTTGTTTCTTTATAATTCCAAAATTTTATTTGTTTATGTATTTTATTTTAATATGGGTATTCACAATTAGCAGTACATACATAATGGAAAAAAAAATTACAATAGTTGGCATTGTTTATTAGCACATAGTTTTAAATAAAATTATATTTTTCATATTAATTTAACCAGTTCTTTTTTAATATATTCAAATAATAATAATATTATAATATTATTTAACCTTACACTTATTTGAAAGAGAAAGTTATTTAATAATAATAAAAAAAAAACCTCAGCACAGTGGGGACATGGCATAGTTAGGTCAAGTAAAATTATATTTGACAGTGATTAAAATCACTATCATAAAAAACGCTTCGATGCAAATTTTTTGATAATGTTTAATTTTAAAAATTAAATTGGTTGATTATTCCAAAAGCTACATGATCTCTTATTTCCTTATTTATATCTTGATTTCAAGTTTTATGATTTATAATTGTAATACATGAATTAATATATAAAGGGAAATACTTTTCTCAGCTTCGCATCACAGCTAAAAAATCATAAAATAAGTTAATATTTTTTATTAACTATTAAATAGAAACAATAGCAACATTCAATTCAGAACTATGGTACCAACTGATTATTATAACATAGAATACTAATGGATTGAATCATTTTGAATTATTCCTTTTTTGGACCGGAATCAAAAGGAACGAAAAATCCCATTACTAGACCATATTCAACAATATGAACTATAACCACCTACACTATGTGTGAAATGCTTGGAACTCATAAGTACTTATTATCGGCTACAATGCTAAACCTAGTACATAGAGATTTTAACTATATTTTTTTGTTTTAATAGATACATTGTATTTTTTTTTTTTTGCACATTTTTGTATCATAATATAACTATATATATAATACCAAAATCCCATAAGTATACCAATCAATATCAAGACAAATTAAATTTTTTTATCCATATTATAAAAGAATATACATTGAAGAATACTAAAGAAAAAAATTGTTTACAACTCATAAATATAAATGCATCTCACAGTTTTACAATTCTATTAATTTAATAAAAGTGATTAAAATGTTTTGTAGGGTAGCTGATGTTATTCTTCAGTTGTAATGAACCAATCAAAATTTTATGTAAGAAAAAGAACTAAAAATTGATATTTTGAAAAAAAATGATATTTTAATTAGATACAAATAATAAAATATATTCTTTAAACATAGTCAATGACATGATTAGAGTTTCATCTTTGGAGTAGGAATGTACAAAAAAAAAGTTTTTACTTCCTCTTCCAAATAAAAAAATTATAATGTCATAATGTAATTATTTTTGTCATGTGGTAATATGATTTTTATACCATCACACCATGATTACACCTGTGAATGCAGATGAAAACTAAAAACTATTTAATAAAAAATAACATAACTTTTCACTGGGTCAAAAGTCATTAAAGATATCAGACACATGGTGGGATACTCTAAATAATTAAACTATCCTTTAAACAATTAATGTGTTTATTTTAAAATACCTCAACACTTCGTGGAACCCATCCCATACGATTACCATAAGGAGGTATTTTGACAGCATAAATTTCATATAAATCAGTTTTTTCAGTAAGAACTTCATTAGTGTCATCATTTCCTTCTTCTGTTTGGAACTGTGATGGAGCTGGTAGCACACTGTATAACACAAAATGTTTTCATTTTCAACAAACAAAATATCGAAAATTGATTCATTCAAATGTCGAATAAATTCATTAATGTCAAAGAAAATGATAAAGCTAGTAACTTACCTAAAAAGAGACATTTTAAAAGATGAATATCTTTACAGGAAAGGTGAAAGAATTAAACAAATTAATATGTTAAAATACTATGTTAAACACAAAAAAAGACATTACTCAGAGTTTATACAAATCATAAATATAATAATAATGATGGGTCGGTACTCATGTAATCGGTCCAAAGTAACGAGTACATTGGTGGAACCATGACACATAGATAGATATGTCAGCACAAAACAAGTTTTGGACCGTTTGACGCATCCCGCCCTTCTCACCCATAGTATTGGTTCGCCTCATTTCATTGGCCGTTGGTTTGCCCGCCAAAATACAATTCTTTAAATCAAATACTTGACAGCAACTTTTGTATTGATTTTTATGATATCTTTACCTTTTATAAAATATATAATTTACCTTTACTATTATTGATAGATATCAGTCTATTGTGATATCTATTTATACTACAATATAAACAAATATCATGACAAAATCTATTTTGTCATGGGTGGAACGAGTAGGACCGATTACACTATCGTTCCGTCGGTACAAAATACAGTTGATCCCCAAATGATTACAATAGTGACCAGAGTACTTGATTAGTTCTTGCTTGTTCGGGATTGTGTAACTACGTCCTACAGTAACTGTCTATTTGGTAAACCGTTGAATAGGCCGCCCTCTTCTTACTGTGATGGAAATTAACGCTATCTCTTGGTTTTTTAATAATCTTAAAAAAAAACTATTAGTAGACCACCAATTTTAAAACTGCTTATGGTATCCATCCACATATTTTAAATTAGTGATGGGCATAATCGAATTATTAATAATCCAGAGATCTCTTGAAATTCTACTCGAAATTAAAATCGTTTTTTCTTTTGATTATAGTAATCGATTATTCTTAATGATTTTTAATGTTTCGATTACATTAAATACATTTATAACTTATAACCAAATTATTCAATTAAGTATAAGTAAAGAAATATGCATAAGATGTTTTAATAATACTACGTACTAATGTATAATATATGTATACTATTATTGAAATTTAAAATATACTAATAAATTACAAAATTACAACCAGCAGCTTCGTCCATACGGTAAAATATTAGTATACTACCACAGACTATGTATTCTACATATTATAAAATATATTATTATATTGGTAATTTATTTTTAGAATTAACTATGTGTACGCTTGCCGTTATCGGTTGCTATAATTGTATAATCGCTATTATTATTTTCATTTCTAATTTCTACTGCAACTTTTAAAATAATATGAGAATTGTGATTTATTTTATTATATTTAATTTAACAATTTTTTATACTTATGACTCTAGCGGTATTATATTTAAAGTCGTATCCCCACTACCAGTATCCATGAGCCGCCACTGAATATTAATAATTTTATTTATCTCATATATGATGTATAATTCTATAAGTTTATCGTAAAAATTGGGATCCATTTATGATAACTAAGCTGTCCAACGTCAAATCACAGTAACCAATATTCTTATCAAAATTGACTTTTTTACATAGTTCCAGGAATAATAATCTGCCATTTTTTTTTTTATGTTATCATTCTATAATATTAATACAATTAAAATATTGTATATTATTACGTATACTATGGGTGTATTTAAGTGTATATCAGCGATTATATCGCCCCTCTTGAACCAGCGCTATTAATATTTTTTTTGGGCGATTTCTAAGAAATATGGACCTAATGACATTTTTTTTGATTTTTAGCAAAAAAATTCTATAGCATGTTTACCAAAGTAAAAAAAATTAAATACCCTCCTAAAATGATTTCTGAATACTCCCCAAGTAACGAATACCTCAGTAACAAACGTCAACCTTATACCCAATACATTTTACATTTTCTTTTTGAATTTTCCTGATTTTAAAAATTAAATTTTTAATATATTTTTGTTACACTAATTCTGTTGTAATATTATCCTGCAAAACACTTAACATGCCAGGTGTAGCCGGATACTCCTACCGGAATCAGTGGCCTACTTACGAGGATGGTCCAAATAGGCTTACATACCGAAAGCACGTGAAATTCGTAGAGCCGGAGCCCCAGCTTGACGAAGCCTAGTATCTATAAATTCTTGTTATTCGTTATAGGCAAACGATTTATTAAAAATTATTAATTTATAAAAATTTCTTTTGAAAATGTTTTATTTGTTATAGTATCATACTAGTCATACAAAGAATGCATATGAAATAAATCTAAAGAACATTAAAAAAGAAATTGAATTGAACAATATAAATAGAAAAGATGTTGTCATGCTAGATACAACTGTAACAAAACTAAGAAAACAAATAAAAAATTGTATTGTTTGTTTAATCATCGTTAAAAATGAAAAATATAAATTATTAAGTAAAGTGTTAAGGAATACTAATGATAATGATGTAATGAGTGTTTTAAACAGGATGTACCCAGGATTTTTGTTTGAGTGGATCCAACTTAAAATCTATCACCAAACCTCAACTCAAAACGGCCTGTTCTTCTTACTTCTCGGAAAATGCCATGGTGAATGGTTTAACAAAAATTATTATCAGTGCAAAATATAAATTTAATGTATGTTCAGTAGGTATACAAAAGAAAATTAAAATGTTGATGCCTCCCACAGATATATATAATCTAATTATATATATCTGTGATGCCTCCAGACAAACAACAGGATAACAATTATTATTTAGTTAACTAGAATAAAATTTTATAATAAATATTTGTTTACTTAATTATAGTTATTTCAGTATTATTTTAATGAGAAATTATATTTATCTACTATTATTATTTATTTTTATCCTACTTATATAAAAGTTATGCTTATTGTAGAGAGGAAAGTAAATATGTATGTAACCTGACGACAATTGTTATTGTTATTTATTTTACTAATTGTTATTAGTAAAATAAACAATTACGGGTTACAAGCTTGTAATTTTTCAGAAGAAAAATCAAAAATCTGTTACAGAATGAGAAAAACGTATGTAATGTATCATTACACACGTTTTTAATTTTTAAACAATTTTAATTTTTACTTAAGGTATACATTTGAGTTTTACAATAATATTAGAGATGAAAATAATATTACAACTTGAACGGCAATCGCTTGTCAATAAATAAATAAAACCCCTTCTTAACTGACCCCTACTGACAATCCTATATTAAAAACGTAATGTTATATATCCAGAGCTAGATTAAATTACTTGGGCACAGGGGCAGGAGTTCCAAGAAGGTTCCTTCCTACATAATTACATTTGTACAAATATTGAAAAAACGAGCCAAAAAATGTTTAATTTATTTTTTGCTAATTTAAGTTAGGCTATGGAAACAACCTTACCAATCCCTAGCCCTCTCTCATAGTCTGGGTCACTTAGTATTTAATAATTAAATTCGAGGTTTATTCACCTTTTTGGATACCTGTTTGGAAATTAACTAATGAAATTTTTCGATTAATAAATTTGTATAAAAGCGGCAATATCTAAAATGGTTGTTAAAATACAATAGTACTAAATTGATAATAATAAAACATGTAGATCTAAAACTCCTAACAAGACCGCATTTAAATGTTTAGAATCCCCTGGTTATTAAATAATAATTACTATGACGAGAAAATTTATGACAAATTTACTGTTGGGGTTAGTGAATAACACAAGATCCTGCAAATATCCTTTGTCTCCCGATTTAAAAACTAGTTAATTATCATAATTATCAAAATTAATTTTCAATAATAGTTGTTATAAGTAATCAAAAAAAGGTGTTCTCATGAAAATTACTAGATGAATGATCTACCTGATAGATCTCATTCTAATTTTGATAATAATTATGAGGTGAAGATGTATTTTTTTTATGCTGTAAATTTTCTCATATTAGTCACCTAAGAACCAATTTATGGAGCGTATATTTTTGCAACTATTTAATTATTGATAAGAAATAATTTTATTTATCATTTAATCACTGATAGACGAAGTAAAAACAAAAGCTGTGAGTCAAAATATTCAGTGGAGCAATAATCTGAGACTTGCCTATGATCTGAAATCATACTAATTAGAAAGGATATAAATTTAGATTAGATACTATTATTTTAATTACTATTATATCTTATTTTTAAAAAATATAGTTATTTTGTTTAACATTTATAAAAAAAAGAGTTGTTTTATTAAATGCGTAATAACTTATATTTTTTGATTAATAAATATTTTTAATTATTTCCAGATTGCATTAGTAAATAGCCAAAGATACTTGTATCAGTAAGTATACAGTTAAATTAAAGAATTTATTTTCTGAAAATTTTTATTATATTCCTTTAGTAGTTTTCTTCTTCCTCAATTATTATCTATGGTTGTCACTATAGTAACAACTTTAAAACTTAATAGGAAAAAAAGTCTTGAAAAGGTATATTAATATAATAGAGAATATGTATGATGGTACTTTTACCAATTTCTCCACTGTTATATGTTATTAAAGCTATCTGGAACGCCTAAACAAATTTCTAATTGTGCTACTTTTACAGATTTAAAAAGTAACTCAGCATAGGTATAAATAGTTTAACGTTTTAGGGGTGTTTAGTATTCAAAGTACTCCAATTATTGTGTCAATGAGAATAATTTTATATGCATTAAAAAAAGTTCTATGTATGAACTACATATTTGAGAAATGACATGTTACAAAATTTTGAAAAAATAAATTTAAATAAATTGTATTTTTTACAAAAATATCCTATTTTAGAAAATGTTCTGAAATATCTATAAATTCTTATTATTTGTTATAGGTAAAAGATGTGGACTAATTTACTAACAATTTCTATTGAAAATGAAAAAGATATCAATGATTATTTGTTAAAGTACCATACTAGTCATATAAAAAATGCATATGAAATAAAACTAAAGAACATAAAAAAAAAAATCGAATTGAATAGTACAAATAGAAAAGATGTTGTCATGCTAGATACAACTGTAACAAAACTTGTCATTCAAAAATCATTGAATTCATGTTTAAGAAAACAAATTAAAAATTTTATTGTTTGTTTAATCAACGTAAAAAGTGAAAAAAATGAATTGTTAAGTAAAGTTTTAAGTAATTCTAATGATAATGATGTGATGATTGTTTTAAATGGAGTGACTTCTAACTTATTAGATCCAATAAGGACAGAATATTTTAATACTACTCGTTGTTTAAGAATTGAAGCTGAAATTGAATCATTTGTTTTTTTATTTAAATATAACTTATTGTGTACACAATATTGCAATGAAAATCCCATACTAATTGATCTTGAGAGTAATTGTGATGTTCAAGAATCTAATGTAATTGATAATAAACTACCAAATATTGATAAACCTGGAAAAACACTGCCAATAATCAATGATTCTAAAATATTAAGCCAAGAGAAGTTGAAAAAATCAATTGGTGCTACTGATTATCAAAAAGAACTTTTATCAAAATCTGTTTCTATTACTTCAGATTTATCAGAAGATGATTTTGTTAACTGTTCTCCAATTAAAAATTTTTCGGTAAGAAATGAGGCAACTTATGTAGTTTATTCAGAAGACGAAGGGCAACTAAATTCTAAAAATGTTTCAATAGACGATATAAATACTCAGTTACCAGTCATCATTCTATCTCTATCAGATAATAGTTCCATGATTGAAGCATTATCTCAAAATTCAATACATTCTAATAAAAATAATAATTCTAACCAGTCCATTAATAACACATGTTTGGATGACATGAATTGTGATAATAATCTAGATTCTTCAGTTGAAGTCTACAATCAAAATGAAAAAAATATTCCATCTGATAATTTCCAATCATCACAAAATCTAAATGACATTAAAACTATTTCATCTTGCAGATTAGTTTACTCCGAACCATGTATATTTGATGATAATTCAGAGGTTGTTTTAGGTTATTGTTTAAAATGTTCTGCATTTATATCAAAATCTTCATTAGAAGTTTCAGAATTCTCAGAAAATGAAATTGAATATATTTGTCCTATTTGCAAAAATAAAATTGTTTTGACATTTTTTTTTAAAATGATTTTTTTGCATGGAAATTTGGAGAATAAAGCAATAGAAGTTTTTTGTTACAGTTTCAATGCTGAAAACATTTTGAAAAAATTGTTATCTAAATGTATTAGTATTGATGATTACTTGTCAAACCCATGTAATAAAAAAGAAATTTTAGAATGTATTAGATCGCTTATAAGAAGTAAAAGGAAAATAAATATAAAAGTACAAGAATCTGAAATAAATAAAATTGTAATATTACTAGATTTAGAAATAGAATGATAGTGCTTGTGTAATTTATATTTTTGATAAATTTTTTATTCTTTATTTTACAAAAGTTTATTTATTCTATGAAAATTAGCTATTTATAATCTCTTTATTTATTTTTCTTTGATATTAACATTCATACCAATCATTTCAGTAAAATAAAATTATTTTTTTTTACTACTGAATTATTAGAATCCTTTATAATATTTAATTTTACTAGTATCCTACTTTTTATTAAGAAACACTAGTAACATGTAAACAGAAATAAAGGTTTCAAATTACTTCATAAAATTAAAAAAAATTTTATTTAGATACAATTTGTAGTTTTGATGAATTATCAATTCTCTATTTTTCATCAGAGCGTTGCCATCTCCGCAGTATTATTTTTGAATATAACTAGAGAATTTACACAGTAATGTACATTTTTACTATAGAAAATTAATACAAAATGACAATTCTTTTGGGGGAGTAATTTCTAAAACCACTACTATAGTAATGGCTACTTTGTTTTTATAATTATAGGGTTTTCAATAATTTAAAAATATGATAAAAAGTAACCTAAATATACAAAAATATTTATAATGCAAAATTATAAATTTAATAAGTTATTGTATAAAAAATTTTGAATCTTAGTATACTCCAATAGGACGGAACAGTGTGGCGTTTAGGTAGTCTCCCTAATAATCTCAGGGGACAGTGATAATCAGTGTCCGCTCTATGATTAAAGTCGGAAGTTTCAGGGCCCCTAGGTAGTAATTGAATTAGTGCTTCTTTTCAGTAATATAATTAGAAACTTGCTATAGGAGGGGTCCTCATTTCAGAATTCTACGTTCCGAAAGTTATATAGAAGGTTTTATCATCTACAATATCCAACTACCATAATTTTATATTAATGGGAAAATTTAGATCTCGTGAATTCCACGTGAATACAATTATGTTCTTCTATGCCATAGAAGAACAGAATGTTTAACATAACACCATAGAATCTATGGTGTTATGTTAAATAAAAAATTGTCTTGTATCCATTGGGAAAGTGTAATTACTACTTCACATATCAAAATAACTCTCAATAATGTTAGGCCTAAGGCAACTGCCTTGTTTGTCTATGTTGTAATACAGGCTGTTTATTATTTGTAAGACCTGTGCAAATTGTACATGCGAGGCGTTAATCACAAATAAGATAATCCTTTTTTTAAGTATACTATGTAAAATATTTAAAGCATGAAGTATGGTACAGTTGTTCATTTTGCAAACGTCTTTGCGCTGATAATAGTGATAATACTATGGCTATTTAGAAATTGGCCGTAATGTTTATTCAAATTGTTGTAAATCTGTTTTTTTTAATAATTTTTGAAATTTTGGTTTGGTGGTCCAATGTTTACAGCCTCCTTACCCAAAAAAATCACTGAATATAAAGCATTTTTTTTAGCTTGCCTTTTATAATATATAAGGTGTAATTACTTATTTGATAATTTATTGTGTTGGTCTATTTGAAATATTGTGGTGAATCAGGGTATTCTACGCCCGTTTCCAGCCACTTGGAAGAGTACCAATAGAAAGAGTCAAAGTAAATACTACAATGCAACATTCACTATGAATACTGATCACTTACGCAGTGTTCATACCTCCTTTTATATTACAAATAAATGAAAGTATACAAGGTTGTAGAGTATTTAGTAATAACAAAATATCATTAAAATATAATTGCAACATCTTAATAACTAAAAAGTACTTAACTATTAACATATAATAAAAAAAGGCGTTTACGACAATATTATTTATATCACTATATAGTACTACTAAGGGTTCTTAGAACTGTGCCCAAGAACAAATAGAAGTTTAATTACTTGCGGGTCAAATACTTGGTCCGTAATAGTATACACAACATTTTAATGATGTATTATATCATTTAAAAAACAACTTAAAACCCAACTCCTGCGTTTCTTAAATGGTTAATAATAAATGGTAATGGAAATCATTTTTTTTAAATTTTAGAAATTATGAATTCTAGAAATAAATAACGATTAACCATTATCAATTCTAAATTATTATCCTTCATATAAATAGATAAGAAATAAAAAAGCATGGGAAAATATTTTTAAAAATTTGCCCAGAAGATACTTTTTATTGAATTGTAATTATTATAATCATATTTAGCATTCAGTAGTAGACTAGATAAAATCGCATTATTTAATCTGCCTTAGAGTTAAAAAAACTGATGTAGGTAGATTAAACATAGGTAAAAAAATTTACCAATAAATAATACATTGAAGATAATCAAATTTTGGCTATTTTTTGAAATCCTTTAATATGCATTGATTCTCATGTATACAAGTATAATCAATTACTCGATATAATAATATGAGAAAGGGTGCTGAACAGTTAATTAATTCCTTATATATAGTGTCACTGATTTACGGCAGGTTCGTAAATTAAAAAGTGCACCATCTGGGTTTATCTTATCTGTGTTGAAACTATATAAAGTATGATAATATATATTATACTTCTTAATTACAGCCTAATTGTTCAAAATTGACTGAATTACAACATTTTAGCATCTAACTTAATATTTCATATCGTTTGATATGTCAAAAAAGTTGATCTACCATAAAATGTTATTATATAATATGTTTAGTGATAGCGATTGTTATTAAGAAACAAGCAATGAAAATACAATGCTAATACGTCCCAAATGTATTAGTTTCAATTTGTTGACTAATTAATGAGAATTTTAATGGATCGCTATTGAATATTTCATTTACACCATCAATAATTTATAGTAGTTTATTTAAACATCAAAATGTACAATTCGTTCTCATAATGTATGATTTTATATTATAGATTTAAGATACCGATTTGTCAACATCAGTTTTGGTATGAAAAATGTCATACTTTTCCCTCCAGGTAAATTCAATTTATTTAACTGTTAAATTAAAATAGAAATAAAACTATAGAATTAAATTTTTTTAATTTTCTTATATTTTTAATATCATAAATAAGTAGTGTTCTGTTGTACAAAATTAATTTTTATAATTAACAGTCAAGAAAGTATACTCGCATAATAGATTTGGATCAACAAAGACGTTTAGGAACACTTGCTCAAACTGAATATAAACGGTTAGCAACTTTACACAGTTTAAATAAAATAGGTTATGAATGGGAAAAATCATCTAGGCATGACATTTGTCCTAGTGACCGTAATGAAATTACAAGTATGGAAATAGATCCAAAAGAAAGCAAATAGTAATGTATTAATTTGTATAAACATATTTAGTATATACAGGATAATCCAAATTTCAGTTGATAACATATACACCAATATAAACTGTACCACTCGCTTTATGTATTAAAATGCTGTAACAGATGAATAGTTCATCAGATGAAAATAATTAAAAAACAAAATTGTTATTACTTTTTTCCTATTATATTATTAAGTTAAAAGTTCCATTTAAGAATTTTCTTTGAAATCTGATGAAATAAAAAAAGGTAATTGACTACATATTGTTATAAAGTATTTTTTCTTTTAAAAAAAATTTAAAATTCTCAATAGTTTTGGAGAAAATCAGTCTTACTAAATTTGGACCATTCTGTATATATATATATTATAGTTAATCAAAGCTAATATAATAAATATATTTTTTTAGTTTGTTAACATTAAGTCGTAATAGTACTGTTGCTATTTTTAATGTGCATTCAAATGCTACAATTTATGATACAATAATGAAAATACCAATTCCACCTGATGAAGTGCGTACTCTAACTCCACCAAACTCAATTCACTGGTTTTGGGATTGTTCAATGTTTTCAGTCGGTACTAGAACTTCTATTCAATTCTGGGATGCTTCTATTGGAAATATTATTGAAGTTATACAAATCAATTCAAAAGTTATTAATCATGTTACTACAACTAAAAATCATTCTTCCCATGACTATGTTGCTGGTAAGTGTTTAAAAGGTTTGGGGTTATATTATACTTATAATATTAATTTAATTTCAAATTTTTAGATTAAATATAGCCCATACTCACAGTTTGGGTTAATTTTTTGTCTAAAATTATATAGTTTGATTTTTTTATAATTTTTCATGAAATATAGTTTCAGGAAAAGAAGGAAATGTTTTCATTATTGATTTACGTGTTGGTAATGTAGTAATGACATCACAAGCAGTTGAACAAAAACCTATTAGAGCTCTTCATTGGCATCCTAGCAATGAACTAATTTATGCAACTGGAAATGAAAATGGAAATATATTTTTGTGGGATATTCGTTTTCAAAAAGAAATTTTATTAAAGTTTTGTAGTGACCAATCATTTAGTCAAGTTCCTAGTCATCAACAGCCTGTTGCTGGTTTACGATTTTATAACAATGGAGTCAGTATAATATCTATAGACAACAAAGGGACTATTAAATCATGGTATATAGTAATAATTGATTTAATTTACAATTACTACATTTTTTATGGAATTCAAGTAAAATTGTTATTTTTATATTTACAGTAATTTTCCAATTTATGTATATTCTCATAGTTAAATAGTAATTGTTTATTTTATTATTACAATAAAATATAAAATTTTACTTCTAATAATATTGTCACTACCTAACTCAGCATATATAGTTTTCTTTATTAATATCTGAATTAAAATAACAATTAATTCTAAAATATTTATCTATAATTTAAATACAATTAACAAAATAATAAAATTAAATGTACATAACAAGAACACCAAAATTATTATATGATGAAATTATTGATTGTTATTTCACTAATTGCTACACATTCTTTAAAAATTTGAATCAAAATGAGTTCTTTTTATAAATATTTTAGGTATATCCTTTTCATTAGGTAAATTTTTTTATTGAAAATATAATCCATTAATTATTTATAAGAAGGTATTTAAAATAGCAAAATTTTATATTAAGTGAACTTATAAAATTGTTTTTAAAATTCTGCGTTTTTTAGTATTTGTTAGATTTAAGTCAGTGCAATTTATTATAAGTTTGAAAAAAATTTGTTCTAATAACTTTTTTCTATGTTCAAAAACAGCTATCAAAGTAAAAAAGAAAAAAAAATTGTGTAAAAGTAACTGTTTTATCTATGTAGCAACGAGCATTTTTTATGTGATTGCTCTTATTTTAAATTGATTTTAAAATATGTTTCTTTAGGGAAGTTAGTAGTGGACAAATACGATATGGGTATTATGACAAAGTAATATTTTGTGAACTAAATCAAAACACATTTTATAAAGAATATCAATTTGCAACTACAGAAAATTTGAAAGAAGATATTGCATTTATGCCATCAAACCATGGGTTAATAATTTTTGATATAAATAGTGGATTGCAGTTACCAAATTCTAAAGATATCCATCGTAATGTCATTTGTACATCATATGATTCTCAAAAAATTTGTGTGTATGGAAGTTTAGATGATGTTGTGAGATCATGGGCCCCACTGCCACCTCCAATAGACGAGTTAACAATTCAATAAATATTATTTATGAACTAGTATTTATAGTAATAGATGAATTATTTTTAGTGGTATTAAGTGAATTTATTATGTTGTATCATGTATTGTTATTAGAAGAAATTAACAAATAACATTAATTATGAACATTATTAATAGTAGTAATAATAATAATTATACACTTAAAATTAATTTTTTTGAAATTTTTGTAATGAGAGTTTAATTACTTTTATGAAATGTATGAATTGTGTACATTCATTAGTTTCTTGAAGATGAAAAGAATTATTATTGATCTCGTATTCGTAACTTAATGGTATTAAAATTGTTATGTGATATATTTGAATATTGATTTAATTATTACTGTTTGTTGTTATTTTATTTTAACTTAATATATTTCTTATTAAGCACATAAAATTTTAGAATTGGATAATATTGAACAATTTTTTCCATAACTGATATGTTAAAGATACAAGAAGTTTATGTGAAATGTAAAGAGTGATTGATTTATCATAAACCACCCAGTTACTATCAAAATAAATACACTATTGGAAATTTTTTTGATTTCTTTTAGTTAAATATATATCATGATTTGTCAGATGTTTATGTATATATTTAAGTAACGAATAAGGTGAAGAGTTGGTGTTGCTATTTTTATCACTAGTCATTTCCCGGCTGTAATCTTTGTCCTGCCATTGTATAAAAATAAGAATAACTTTCAGAGTACTGTTCCAAAAGTTGTTATTGACCAGTCATTTTCTGATATATGTAACAACAAGAATTAAATTACAGCTTCGATGCAAAGCTGAGTAGGTATTAATTTTACTATGTGTTTTTTTTTTTTAATGTCTGTTGCACTTTTTCTAAGCTCCACTGGACCGATTTCTTTCAAAAATACGTCAAAAGATCACAAATCATATCTAGTTGGAGACATTACCCTTAAAAATTGAAAAAAATTCCCTCGTTCCCCGAAAATAGGGGAAATATCAAAAATAATTACAAATTTAAAAATCAGTAAATTCTGTGTTTTTTTTACTTTTTTTCCTTAAAACATCCATAACTTTTTCAAAAATCAACAAATCAACATAATTTTTTTT